CGGAGATTGAGGTTGCTGTGAGCCAGGCTGACGCCAGGGCACTCACTCTAGCCTGGGCAACAAAGTGAGACTCTGTCTCAAAAAAAAAAATAAATAAAAAATCAACTAGACTAGATGATCAATCAAAAGTCACACGGAATAAATTAAGACACTGTTTAGACTGCCAGGTATTGAATGGCAATAGTCAGAGCAGATCACAGCAAGACCCTGCAAGTAGCCTAACGCCTCTCAGAAGACCACAGCAGACCAAAGACGGGAAAGCAGACCAGGCTAGATGGAAATGGACAACTGTTCCTACCTTTTCAATCTCCACCTGTACTGACTGACCTGATGCATTACTTTGTCACACTGTACAAACTGACCAAAAAGACACCTATGAGGCTGTAGTTTACTGTCACCTGTACAGTTTTTACCCCTCCCAGACTATCCTTTGCCAAAAGTCACCAGCAGGCCCATGGAACTGCATGTGAACTTCTTCCATCTGTCTGGTATCAACAAGAAGGATTATTTTCTGATTTGTTACTGTCCTAAATGCTTCAGCTTTCATCATGCCAAGAAAATCAGGGAGCAGGTAAGGGACACGGGGGACACAGTCAAAAAGAAAAGTTAGTTTTTTAACCCTTGGCACTTGCTTTTTTCTCAATTCCTTGATTCTACTCGGGATTTATTTTTTTAAATACCCCAGATTTTACAAAGCACGGCAGTAGAATAAAAAACTGGAGTTTCTTTTCATACAAACTTATTTATTTGGATTTTTTTACATTTCAAATTATTGATACATTCAAAGAGTAATTTTAATCTCTATAATTTTTGCTAACCGTGTCGAGTCACAGTCAACATCCAAGTGCAAAGGGTTAAAAAAAAAAAAGGAATGAGCAGAAAGGAAGAGAGGAACTTTGATCAGTCCAATTTCTAAAAGTCTTCACAAAGATTTCCCAGGCAGGGTAAGAGCCCCCGAAGATATTTCACTAGGTTGAAAACCACCGTCTATCACCATCTCCTGCTCCATGCCCCACGCCAACTGGCACATTAATTGTTCCAGAAGGCCAAGGCTACCACCTCACATTTCTATAGCAGCCAATTTTGTCATCAAAGCAAATGTCAATGCTGGGATGGACAATGATGCTACCATCAGAGAAATGTGACAGTCTTTGGAACATCAGTTATCAGTTTAGGAAGGAAAAAAATCAGCTCTTTATTCTTCTGTCTCCTCTTCCTACTATGTAAACTCAGGCCTTAGGTATGCAGAAACTTTTTATACTGCCAGTGATATTAAAACTCTGAAACACAAATTTAACAGTACTGCATACACAGTTGTTTTCATCTTTAATTAGCTGTCACTTTCGCATTAAGAATAAAAAACAAAACAACTATTTATACCAACATAGAAACACAAACTCTAAAATAAATTCAGAGTCAATCGTGATAAAGCAGGCCAAAGATTCACCAATGGAAATGAACCAAAATTTTTTAAGTCAATAATGGTAAGTAAAAACCCATGCCATCATTAAAATTACCAGACTTTTCTTGTAATAAAATTTAAAGACCTAATAAAATTTAAGAGTAAAAAGAGCCATAGGAATCTACTATCCAGCCCTGTTCATTGTATCATGTACAAATGCCCTAACATTTGATGAGTCAATGGTCCAACTCCGTAGAATGACAGTGAATGTTTTTTTATTTCAAATGTGTTCACACAGAACTATTTCTAAATAAGTGCTGAAATAAACAAAGATTGATCATAGCTCAGTTAAGAAAGTCCTTCCAGTAAAAGCTCCTTCACGCTGGATGGCTGCTTTAATATGCAATTGCCCTAGGCTATGGGAGGGAAAAAAAATCAGGCTTTTGATTTACTTAAGAAATAAAATAAATAAACCTAGAACACGCGAAAGCTTCCCTCTCCCAAGCTAAGGAAGGAAAATGGCTGGATGGCTTTTCTGCAAAACTCACCTGTACATCCGAATAAATTTCCTAAACCCCACCCCAACCACAAAATCATTGAAAAAAATAGCTCAGGGAAAGGTAGCTAAGGCACATTTCTCAGATAATAAGACTGAAAATCCAATCACATTAGCCAGTTCCTGGCACCCCTTTCTAACTCTACCAAAGCAGGTCACTCAAAAAACTTGGAGAATGTCAGGGCCCACCCACACATGGTGTACACCAATGAGACCCCAGAATCCAGCGTGGATCTGCCCAGAGACACTCTGCTCCTGTGGCGGGGAGTGCTTGCAATACCAGAGGGCAGAAATCTGAGTGACACTTGGCACTCTCTCTTTCAACAAACAACCGCAAAGCGCCTTCCAAACCCAGGCCCTCACCATTTTGAAGACTAGGAAGCTGGAGCCTTCCCGGGGTCAGAGGTGAAAAAGAAATAAGCCCATCCTCCCAGAGCTCCTCCCCCAAGGTCACACTACAAACCAGAGGCCATCAGGGAAGGCAAGACTTTCTGCAGGCCCAAGGCAGTAAACACCAAGTGTGGCCATAACCCCCGGTGGGATCAGGGAGAACTTGAGAACTGGCATTTCCCCAGCTAGGGTTAAAACAAAAATATGACTTGTCAGCTGGAAAAAACAAAAAAAGCACACTCCTAAGTTCTCCCAAAGGGTGATGGCTCGGTGGTGGAAGGGGGGAGAGTATAACTCTGTGCAACAGCTCAGGAGGGAGGGAAAGTGAGAAAGAGAATAAAGATCTGTGAACAGCTGCATCCCCCTTTTCAGAAGGACACATAGCTGCAAAGCCCAGAGATCTGAAAGAGGGAAAGCAAATAGAGCACAGGAAAGGAAATGGGGCAATGGAAAGAGATCGAACTCTCACCTCTAACCTTGGTAGAAGTGAGACAAGTGGGGGAGACACTCCCAGACTCCAGAGATCAGTAACCAACCAACCCACCCCTGGCTATATACCCAGATCTCATAGCATCTCTGGGGATAAAACCCTCAGGGTCAGGGCTGTGAGAGCATGAATGTGTGGTCTCAGAGCATAGAGAATGTAAGGTCCAATCCAGTCCCTGCACTCCCGAAGCTAAGGGCTGGAAAATAAAGGCAGATACACCTGAAAAGGGAAAGAAGCATTCAGTGAGGAACAGGTGGACCACGGGTGGGGAGCTGGGAGAAACAGGTCTGATTCGAACTAAATTGGAAAAGAAAGAGCCTGGCACAATACAGGGAGAAAGAAAAGAGGTGAGGAAGAAAGCAAGTCAAGGAAGAAAAGAATTGGGAAAAGGATACCAAAAAGGGGTGAGAAACTATCAAAGATCTGAGACAGCTCCAAAAGGAAGAGGGGGAATATATAGGAAGGAATGATGAAGAAGACATCTTAGTGTCAGAATTGGGGGGAATGAGAACTCAAACAACGGACAAGCAACAGGGCAATGGAGGGAGGACAAATATAAGAAAGAAGAGTGAAAGGTGAGAGTGGAATCAAAATGGTGGGGGAAGAGAATGTCATGTGGAAAACTTAGGATTGGGAAGGAACAGAAATGGGACACAGTTATAAGAACGCCAGTGCTAAAGAGGACCGCTCCAAGAATGGACAGCCAAAGGAAATTTTAAAATGGGTCCAAAAATGTGCAGGCAAGTAGACAGCTCCAAAAGGGGCAGAGCAGGGGAGGAAAACACTAAATAAAGAGGATGGAGGCAGAATCCACCAATAAGGGAAAGAGCAGGTGCAAAAAGCATCTGGGAGCAGGCCTATGAGATGCAGAATGGGAAGAGGGTGGGTGATGGGTCAGAGAGTTAACAGAGGTAGAGCAAGGTAAAGGGCGAGTCTAAGAAGGGCCAAAATGGGGAGGAGAGGATTTTAGGCAGAGAAATGAAGGCCTAAGAAAGGAAACCAATGGAGTAGCTGAGGAGTGCCAAAAAGGACGTAGGGAGGAGAGGAAACCTCCAAGAGAACACTGAGGCAAAGCTAAGGCAGAGGGGAGACTGAATTATGGAGAGATTAGGTAAGTGAATGGCAGAAATGAGAGACCTGCAGGGTCAGAGAAGGGGGAGGAGATTGCTTCCCGGGAAGGCAGAGTCAGAAAGCAAACAGGTTAGGGGAGCACAGCAAGATCTGAGATTGGGCAAGGGGCAAAGCAGGGAGGCAAAAAGGTCTGGAAGAGAGGAAAGGGTCTAGATGACAAACGGGAGCAAGAGCTGAGAAGGGGAGAAGAGACGGCAAGCACATTGCATCCAAGTCTGGGAGTGTGCAGGCAGAGGACTGAACTGGGGCATGGATGGGGCAGAGACCCAGCCAAGGGGCATCCCGGGGGCGCAGCAGGTTCTGTAAGAGGGCAGGGACAGAAATGTGGGCACTGGGGCCCAGGAGGGAGGAGGAATTAAGTCCAAGGGGAAGATATGGGGGCAGCAGTGCCTAGGAAAGGGGGTCTCAGATGGGTCTCCAAAGAGGTGGAACCGCAGGTCCTAAAGGGACAGCTCCTGGGGGTGCAATAGATTCTGAGACAGGAATAATAGCACGGTAGATAGGTCAAAGAAGGGCCAGGGTCAGATCCAAACGGTGGTGAAAGCAGAATGGGAGAGGAAGCAGAAGGGTCACGAATCTCAAAAGTGAGAGCCACAATTAAGGGATGCAGAAGGGTCACTGAGGAGAAGGTGGGTCTCATGAGCAATGCAGAGTCCAGGAGGAGCAAAGGGCACTGCAGAGGGGCGGAAGAGGGTAGGGGGGGCGCAGAACTGGGAGCACGGTGGCTTAAGTGGGGGAGACCGAGGCAGACACCGAGATCCCAAAGGGTCCGGGGTGGGGACAGACGCGGGGACAGCAGGGCTGGGGCGGGCAGGGGTAGGTTCGAAGGGCAGGCGGGCCCCGCGGGCCGGGCCGAAGCGCGAAGCGATGTGGACGGCGGGGCCCGGGGGGCTGGGGGGCCGCTCCCTCCCCTCCCCCTCCAACTCCTCCATTGTTCGCGGGCTCCGGGCCCCGCCGTCCCCGCCTCCCCCTGGACCCTGCAGCGGGGCGGCGCCCGGCCTCGCCGCCCGGGGCTCACGAGCTCGCGCACTCACCAGCTGGGCGCCCTCAGCGTGGCCCCGGCCTCCGGGATCCCAGCAGCAGCGACGGTGGCCCCGGCGCCATGTTCCCCTGCTCCTAGTCCAGCGGCTGCTGAGGCGGCGGCGGCGGCTCCGGCGGCGGGGGGCCAGGCGGACCCTCCCTCGCGGGCTCCCTCCTCCGCCTCCTCCACCTCCTCCCGCCGCGCCGCGGCTCTCCCTCGGGGCGGGGGGCGGGGAGGGGAAGGGGGGAGGGGCGGGAACCAGGGGGAGGGCGGACCAGCCTCGCTCGCTCCCTCCCTCCCTCCCTCGCAATGGCGGCAGCGGCACCTCCTTCCTGCGACGGCCGCTCCCGCGCGCGCCCCCTTGCTACTGCGCGTGCGTGGCTCGGGGACCGTTGCAGGGGATAACGGCCCCTGAGCGCGCTCTGCCAAAGGATGACCAGCGCCGGTCAGTGGAGAGAACAGACAGCGCGTGCGCTCCCAAGGGGCTCGCTGCCACCGCCGAGGCCTGGGGCTGGGGACGGGCGGGGAGGGTGCAGTGCGCGTGCGCCCCAAAAGTGCCGCTACTGCGGCTGCCGGGGCGCGAGACCGAGCGCGAGGTGACCGGTGAACGGGCAGAGGGAGCGGCGTGGGCAAGTGCGCGTGCGCGGGAGGGCCTGCCAGCCGGCGCAGCGGCTGGCTCAAGGCGGAGGGAGTGGCCCGCGGCAGGCGCGCGCGTCCTTGTGCGCGCCACTAGCAGCCCGTCTGCCGCCTCGCGCCGGCCCTCGGAGAAAGCAAGAGGGGAGAGGCATGGCCCGGCTTTGGGGCGGGGGCGAAGGGCGCGATCCCGCTCACGCGGGACCTGCCCAGCCAATGGGAGGCAAGGGGAGGTGGGTTTGCCGTGCGAGCCGCAGCCCCCAGGATAACGGAGGAGGCGTGAAGGAGCTACGTAACGTGGGGCGGTGGGGCGGGGCCAAGGATGAGGGAGCTCACCCACCGAGGGCGCTGATTCGGGGACACGAGGAGGCGTGGCGCGCCTCAGCCCAATGCCAGCCTCGCAATTAGTCGCCCCGGAAGAAGGGGCGGGGCTGAAAAGCGCGTGCCCTTTCCCCAGGCATTGGGGAAAATCTGCAGGCGCTGCTCACGTTGGTTTTTGCGTTCTTGGTTCCGCGGTCGCCGGGGAAAGATCGCCTGGTCCTGCGTGCAACCCTGGCTTCCAAGTCAGCATTGTGCGAAGGGCTGCAAATCAAGTGTCACTTTGGGCACCTGGAGGGCAAATAGTGATGGGAGAGGGCACCGCTGTAACCCTTGAACTGAGGAAGGGTTCCTCTGGGACTCTTCCGGAAGTACGGATCGTAGAAGATGCGCTTTCCGGGCGCCAAGCCAGTATTTGTGGAATGCATGAATAAAAGCTATGCTTTCTATTGCATTTTGCATTTCTTTCCTCAGTCTCTTTATCTATAAAGTGGGGTGATGATAATCATACTCTCATAGGCTATGAGAATTAGGTTACACTTGTAAAGCGCTGAAAATAATGCCTTGCACGTATTAAGCGCGCTATAATCCTTGACAAAATTATATGGGCTCGAGTGTTAATATTTATCCCATTAAATAAAGCTTTTCTAATTAAAGGTCATTTCCATTGGCTTTCTTCTTAATTTAGCGCTTCCAATGCATGAAATCTCATTTTTAGATGTTAGTGACTATTTTTTAAAACCTTTCTTTAAGCCCTGTGGACTACCAAATTGAGTGCATGGGCTGTCATTGCAAACTCTGGTGTGTAAGTGATTTTTGAGATCACTTGAGGGAACACCAGGAAGTGAGGAGGGAATGCTGGATATCCCTGCTTTAAATTAATCTCTTTATAACAACTATGCAGTGTTCCAGGCCCTTCCAATCTTGGGAAATTTGTGAACTGGCAGCAACTGAAGAAGAGAGAAGACGGGGCTCACTCTGGACTCAGGTCCCCCCCTTTTGGAGCCCATCAACTGTGCCTTATCCTGCAAGTATGAGCTTGAAGTCACTTTCTCAGAGTAGCCTCCTAGATTTGGCTTGACCCCTAGTTCTTTAATAAAAATGAACACTTTGTGCCAGGCACCATTCTAAAGCACTTTAGACATATTAACTCACTTAATCCTGACAACAACCTTATGAGTAGATTATAAGGTACAGAGAGGTAACACAATATAATACATAGAAGATTTGAGATTTAAACCCAGATGGTTAGGGTTAGGTGACTATACACCTACCATTTGTTCATAGCACTTCATCAGGGTTTGAAGTCTGCATTTGATGTCACTATTTTATGCCTGAGTTCTTTGAAGCAGGGACTCTGGCTGGTTCCAAATTCTGGCAAATAGCCCACAATAAACACTTGTTAATGAATAAATAAATGAATTCAATACTAAAGAAAGATAATGGTAGGCACTGAGGACATGGTAGCCAGAAAGATAAAGTCCTTGTCCACTGACTAACTCCTTCATTCAGAGCCTAGCTCAGCTGTCCTCTCTCTCAGGAGATCCTCCCTGACTCCACAGCCTGGGGCAGGTGCTTCCTGTAGGCTCCCACAGCTCCTTTGGGTTTCCCCTTCAAGCCCTGACCACCCTGGGTCACCCCTGTCTGGCGATAGGTCTTTTCTATCGGACTGAGAGTCCAGTGGCTGCAGGGCCCTGTCTCAGTCACGGACAATGTCCCTCGTACAGACCCAGGTGTTTTGTAGATCCAGGCAGTGTTTTGTAGATCCAGGCGCAAGGCGGAGGCTCAGGCAGTGTTTTGTTGCATGAACGGAACCGTCAAGGAGGACATTCCTAGCTCTGCAATTTTTTCCAGTGCGCAAGAGGGCGGATGGTAGCTGAGCAAGCCAACCACAGGAAGCAGGCTTCCCTGGGGGCAGCCACCCCCGCGCGCCCGGTTAGCCTCCCCTCCAGGATAAATAAACAACTGAGTAGACAATTAGCCGACAGAGAGAAGTGCCTACTGCCAGCTTGGGCAACTGTCAAGATCCTCCCTCCACCCCTAGCATCGCCCTCGGGGTCCGAATGCCTGGAGGTCACACCAACCGGAGAGCTGGGGTTGGTACGAGGTGGGGTATGGGGTTCTGGACCCACATCGAAGAGAAGCACAGGCAGAAAAATCCACAAAAGAATTTTGCAAAGAATGTCGGGGTGCTGGGATGTACTTCCTCCATTCCTGAAAGTCTGAAAGAATGAGAGAGAGGGTGGGGACCAGGTCGGCGCTGGCCAGGGAGTCGGTGAGCCCACAGCGCCGCCTGCAAACCGAGCTAAGCACGCTGCAGCTCGCAGATGCCGCCGGGCTGTCAAAGCGCGGTGGACTCTCCAGCCATTGGCCGAAGGGGCAGCCAATCACCGGCAAGGAACGGGAGGCGGGATGCTCGGATTTTCCCGGCAGAATCCCGGAGCCTGGCCAGGTGCTAGGGTGCACGTGCCAAATATTTGATGGAAGAATACCGTGTTTCCCCGAAAAGAAGATAGGATCTTAAATTTATTTTTCCTCAAGAAGACACCCTAGGGCTTATTTTCAGGGGATGTGTTATTTTCCCCTCAGAGCCTCAGCTTGCAGCACGCACAGGAAGGCCAGGACCTGATAGGGGGAGCCCGCACCTTTCCGGTCACCTCTGGGATAGCAGCTGTCACCATGGGGCAGATGAGAAGGGCTGCTCGTCTTCTTTACCGCTCTGCGACGAAATGCATGGGTTGTGCAAATGCTGCGTATCCACCCCCATCACTAGGTCTTATTTTGGGGGTAGGACTTATATTGCACAAATGCTTTAGAAATCCTGCTAGGGCTTATTTTATGGGTAGGTCTTCTTTTTGGGGAAACACAGTATGTGAGAAAGCTGTTTATTTTTGTAAATTTTTATAAAATTGAAATATAATATACATACCGAAAAGTGCACAAATCAGTTCAATGAATATCCACAAAGAGAACACACCCTTGTAACTGGCACCAAGGTAAAGAAACAGTGCCTGACCAGTCTTTCAGAAGCCACCCGGTGTCCCCTTCCAGTCACTCCTCTCCCCCCACAAGGGGAGCCTTTATCCTACCTTCTGTGACCATAGATTAGTTTTGCCTATTTTCATACTTTATACAAATGGCATCATGCTATAAGTACTCTTTGCTGCTTAGGCTCTTTTGACCAACGTTGTGAGATTCATCTACATTACCGATGTAGGTGTAGATCCTTCATTCTCACTGTTGCTGTGTATGGATGAACGACGATGTATTTATCTATTCTACCACTGGTGAGTATCTAGGTAGTTTCTACATTTTTTTTTTTTTTGAGACAGAGTCTCGCTTTGTTGCCCAGGCTAGAGTGAGTGCCGTGGCGTCAGCCTGGCTCACAGCAACCTCAATCTCCAGGGCTCAGCGATCCTACTGCCTCAGCCTCCCGAGTAGCTGGGACTACAGGCATGCGCCACCATGCCCGGCTAATTTTTTGTATATATATTTTTAGTTGGTCAATTAATTTATTTCTATTTTTGGTAGAGATGGGGTCTCGCTCAGGCTGGTTTCGAACTCCTGACCTTGAGCAATCCGCCTGCCTCGGCCTCCCAAAGTGCTAGGATTACAGGCGTGAGCCACCACGCCCGGCCTACATTTTAACTATTAAGAATAGTGCCACTATGAAGTCTAGAACATGTCTTTTGGTAAACATACAGATATATTTCTGCTAAGTATGTACCTAAGGGTGAAATCGACGGTGACAGCTTGTGCTTGTGTTCACCTTCCCCAAGTAGTTCTCCTAAGTGAATGTACCCATTTACAGTCCCACGAGACATGTATGAGAATTTCAGCTACTCCACATTTTCCCAAACACTTGGTATTGTCCATCATCTAATTTTGGCTATTCCAATGGTGATGTGCTGGTATCCCATTGCCGTTTTAATTTGCCTTTCCCAAATGATTGAGGTTGAGCAGCTTTTCATACATATATATGTATATTAGCCATTTGAGTAGCATTTTTGTAAACTACTTGCTCATATCTTTTGCCCTTTTTTCTATTGTATTATATATTCTTTTCTTTTAATATTATTATTTTAGAGGTGGAGAGGTCTTGCTGTACTGCCTAGGCTGAACTCGAACTTCTCAAGTGATCGTCCCATCTCAGTCTCCAGAAAAGCCGGGGCCACAGGCATGCACCACCATGCCTGGCCTGTTTTTATGTTTAATTACACAAAAATTACATGAAGTTC